CAGATGTGCTCCTGGATAATCTTCTCAAAGAGCTTCCCCAGGATCAAAGTAAGACTAACAGGCCTATAGTTGCCCGGGTCCTCCCTCTTCCCTTTTTTGAAGATGGGGACCACATTGGCTTTCTTCCAGTCTTCTGGCACCTGGCCAGAGCACCACGAGTGCTCGTAAAGCTGTGCTAGGGGCCCAGCAATAACCCCTGCCAATTCCCTTAACACCCTGGGGTGGAGAGCATCTGGACCTGCTGATTTGAACACATCCAGCCCCTCCAGAAGTTCCCTAACTCGGTCCTCCCTGACCCTAGGCCTGGCAGAGTCTCTCCTGAGTCCATCCCAAATCTTGGTGGAGGAGTCCCGGTCCCTGCACAAAAAAATGGTGGCAAAGAATTTGTTAAAGGTCTTTTTCCTCTGGTGCAACCACCAGATTACCTAGCGTATCTTGCAGGGGCCCCACATTACCCGGTTCCTTCTTCATACTCCCTAAGTATTTAAAAAAGGACTTATGAGAATGGAGTGGGAGACAGTGTCAAAGTCCTTCCTGAAGTCCAGAAAGACTACATCCACCGCGGCACCTGCATCCAATGATTTTGTGACCTGATCATAGAAGGTTATCAGGTTGTTCTGACAGGATCTGCCCTAAGTGAACCATGCTGGTTGCCCTTGAGCATCCTCCCACCTGCTGGTCTGTCCCAGATGTGCTCCTGGATAATTTTTTCAAAGACCTTCCCCAGGACCGAAGTAAGACTAATGGGCCTATAGTTGCCCGGGCCCTCCCTCCTCCCTTTTTTGAAAATGGGGACCACATTGGCCTTCTTCTAGTCTTCTGGCACCTGGCCAAAACACCAAGAGTGCTCGTAAAGCTGTGCCAGGGGTCCTGTGATGATTCCTGCCAATTCCCTCAGCACCCTGGGGTGGAGAGCATCTGGACCTGCTGATTTGAACATGTCCAGCCCCTCCAGAAGTTTTCTAACTCAGTCCTCCCTGACCCTAGGCCTGGCAGAGTCACTCCTGAGTCCGTCCTGTATCCTAGTGGAGGAGAAGTCCTGGTCCCCACTCAGAAAAATGGAGGCAAAGATATTGTTAAAAAGGTCTGTTTTTCCATCTGGTGAAACCACCAGATTGCCAAGTATATCTTGCAGGGGACCCACATTGCCTGGTGCCTTCTTTTTACTCCCTATGTATTTAAAAAAGGACTTTTTATTGTCCTTGATTCTTGTTGCTAGCCCTAGTTCCGTCTCCACCTTATCTTTCCTAACAGCTTCCCTGCATACTCTGGCTATGGAGGTATAATCCTTTTAATGATAGCCTGCCCTGCCCTCCACTGGATGTACACCTCCTTTTTGGCTTTCAGATGCTCCTGAATGCCTTTGGTGAGCCAAGGGGGCTTTTGAGTACTCTTGCCCTGTTTGACTCGCATTGGGACTATCACTTCTTAGGCTCAAAGGATTGTCTCCTTAAGAAATGACTACTTGTCTTGGACACCTAGTTCCCCTACTCTCCAGAACTGGAGTGCCTCTCCTACCAATCTCCTCAGCTCATTGAAGTTGGCCCTCTTGAAGTCAAGGGCTACTGCCTTGCTGCAGGCCCTTGACACCCTGCGCTGGATGGTGAATTCCAGTAGGCGATGATCAGTGTCGCCCAGGTTGTCCTTTGTGGGCCCCCTTCTACCTTTTCTGAATCAGGAAGGCAAGGGCACTGAAGACTAGCAGAAAAATTTCTGTGAACAGACACATTCAATGGCATGGCATAATGTATTGCTACAAAACTACTAATGTTTATAGTATCACAATGAATGTTATAAAGACATACGTTTGCAATTAAAATGATCAGCCTGAGAAGGGCTAGAAAATTCACACACAAAAAAATCACTGACTTTTCATCCAAGGGATACAAGGAACTTAACCGTTCTCCTCATTTATAATCTATCTAGTTAAAAACAAAAAGTGAGCCAGCTTCACATACAGGTTTCCCTTGCTTAAAAGGAAATAAGAACATTTTGTTTCCTGCCCTTGCAATATCTGTCTAATTCTATCATATCAGATAAGATGAGAAAGATTATATTACATCAGACAAGAGAGCTGTTAAAATTATAGGTGCAGCTAGATGGTGCTATTAGTGGTGAAGCCTATGAGCAACTTTGTCACCAGCTATCCATAAAGATCTAGAAAATTATCCTAACTGTTCACACGCGCACACACACAGATATTTGACAAAAAAGTTGTAATAAACTTTAAGTCTTAGAAAGTGTACTTATTACACATACACACAAATGAGTAGCCTCTACATGTAACCCTCTTCTCTCCCCCACCATTTTCCCCTAACTGAAGTATAAGCCAATAAAAAAGTTATTTGTCTTCAATGAAATCTATGAAAGCCAAGAAAAAATTGTATTTGTCTTCAAATAGCACCTAGAGATCGTAATGAGAAGTAAGGCTGCTTTACTTCAGGTGTGGTACATCTAGAATAGCAAAACAGTTGCTGCCACGAAAGTTTATAATCTAAGCAACATTAGAGGAAACAAATGTGTTAGTTTATGTAATCACTATAAGCAGAACATTTAATTTTAAAAGATATAGTCTATGCATATGTATAGCCTATGTAAAGTGAATAATCTAATTTATTTTTTCTATGTAAATATCAGCATTTCCTGCTGGCCACCTGCCTAACTTCGATCAGTTGATAGTTTCCTACAAACCTCAAAGTAGAAATACATTTCAAAATAGGGCAAAATATTTAATTTTACAAAGCAACTCTAAGGAAAGTGTCCCACATGTACAGGGCACCATGGAAGAATAAAGAAGTTTGTAAGAAAAGTTGACCAATGGAAAAGTGATACACTATAAGAACCACAAGAGGATAAGCAGGTACAGACTACATTCTAAACAGTCACAAAGGGTCAGGAAGGCTCTTTCTTAAAACTGAACTAGTATTTGGAGTGTGAAAATGGAAAATGAAGTCTTTTTATTTCCCAGGTTAATATGTATTCCAGCAACTAAGGCACAGACTGTCAGACACCAGTGATGGGTATAAAATGAGAACCCAAGTAAATGGAAATAGGCTAGTAGAGTTCACCTTCCCCATCTGCTTCCATGTCACAGCAGGGAGATGGAGTAACCATCTTCTCTCTAGGGTTAAGAGCTATTTACTGGTTGAGACCAAACTTATACTAGTTCAGCCCTTGGCCCAGTTCTTAGAGGTAACACATTTCTATGATGGTATTTTTTAACAGAAATCATATTCAGGGAGAAGCTGAGTCAAGACCTGACTGAGGTCACTTACAGAATTTGTTTTTTCTAGACAGAGTAAAATTAAGTCTAGCTTGATGATCTCCATAGAAAAGCAGATGCCCCACCTAAAGAGTTCCCTCAGATCACCTCTCTTTTTGAACATAGGTAATACCTACTTTGTTTTATATCTACTTTTTTTTCCCTGGACTCATGATGGTATTAATGAGTAACTCTTAAAATAATGTTTATGTGAACCTACATCTGTCATAGACTCTTATCTGAATAGTAAATGTCAAGAACAGAACAAAGGTTACACAAGATACAGTGAGCGTC